AAAGGAATGTTTCAAGTACCTAGGGTCTATGATACATAAAGATGGGGGTGTAGATGATGACGTTACACACCGTATAAAGGCAGGATAGCAAAAGTGGAGGGTTGCTACTGGAGTTTTGTGTGACAATAAGGTTCCTCTAAAACTTAAGGGAAAATTTTATAGAATGGCAATAAGACCAGCGTTGCTATATGGATTAGAATGTTGGGCAATCAAGAAGGATCACGTAAGGAGGATGGAGGCCCCAGAAATGAGAATACTTCGATGGGCATGTGGTAGGACTCTGTGGGACATGACACCAAACTCTGCTATTAGGATGTCCTTGGGGGTGGTGCCTGTATCCGAAAAATTGAGGGAGGGAAGACTACGGTGGGTTGGGCATGTCCTTAGGTGACAAGCGTCCGATGCAGTCAGAAGGGTAGAGTCGATTACAGTCGACAGTGCCAGAAGGAGATGATGAAAAAGGTAAAAATGGGAAGACTGCTTGAGATCTGATTTGAAGGATTTAGCCCTTACCGAGGACATGACCTCTGATAGGAAAGTATGGATACTTAAGACTAGGGTAACTGAGTAGTACAGTTCATAGACATAGGGTGTAACATCTTTGTCTTCCTTTTAATGCCTTTGTAATAATTTCCATGACTTCTACTTTATATACATTTCTGTCATTAGAATTTTATGTAGGCTTAGAACTAGGGTAACGGAGTATTGTTCCCTTAGTTTTTATTTTTAACCCATTTTACTTTTTTCCTTCTTGTAGCTTGCTATCATTGACTTCTGTGTATCATTCTCTTCAGGTTTCCTCTTTTTAAATTTAGTCGGGCCTTACGTTTCTGTCTATATGCAGAGAGTTTTTCGCAGAGATTTATTTGCAGGGATTACTTCCCATTACAGATGCGCATATGAAGACTGCATATGAAGAATGTTCAACTATTTATTTATACATGCATTACATTTTATCTTTATTTTTAATTTTATGACTGCCAGAGGTCTTCCACGGAAGCTGCTCTCAATCCTGACATTGGGGGCAGCCTACTACCCTACCTCCCCCTTACCCCATTGCATATGGGAATAGGGTTTTGGTATTGTTGTTGTTGTAATGATTTTATAACTATATTATTTTTAACATATAAAAGATCCAAAAACATATGATGAAGTTATTACTTTTATTGATGCTAGTTTTTGGAGAGATGCTATTAAAGATGAAATATAATCCACTTTATTTAATCATATTTGGGAGTTAGTGGAATTTTCTAAAGGTTATAAACCTATTAGTAATAAATGGGTCTTTAAAAAAAATTAGACTGGATTGATCTGTACAAAGATATAAGATAAGATAATTTTCTTAAAAGTTTGGGAATGTCTTTTTGATGCATATTCTCCTATTACTATAATGTCCACCATTCAAATTTTATTTGCTTTAGCTTCCATTCATAACTTGTTGATGCATCATATGTGAACCCCTAGACCCAACCTATGTGTTACGACTAGATCTAGCAGATTACAATAAAATTTCCAAAAACATTTTCGATAATTTAAAATCGTATTACAAACAATATCTAACAAAAGGAACACATAGTTAAAACGATAAAAATTTCATCGAGTAAATATCAATCCGTTAGTGACTAAATAAAATAAAATACATTATAATTCGTATCGCAGTGAAAATCATAAGCATAAGTATTTCAAAATAAGGTCACATGTTATAGTAAATAAATAAATTCGGAAGATAGAAACATTACAACAAAAAAGTTCTATAAGAATGTGTCGATCCTCTAAGTGACTGGTTCGGGGTGCGTATCCAAAAGTCTCTAAAAGGGGGGGAAATAGTTTGAATAGGGTGAGCTAAGGAGCTCAGTGTATCCTAGTAGTGCAAATAACAAGGTAAGTAAAATAATCCTGAGTGTTTTAGTAAGGAATCATAAAAAGTCATCGATAAGTTGAATTTTAAACTCAAAATTACCCTCCTCCTGTACACCAAAATGTAGTTCCCTATAACTGCATCCATAAGAGCTAACTTATACCCATTGGGCATAGGAGCCATTCTAAGGGAGTACTTTCGGGCCTGAGAGCCTACTCAAGAAAGTTCTCAGGGCCTCGAAGCCTTCCCAAGGGTCACCTTAGGTCCGTAAGGTATTATCAGCTTGATCAGAAATGAACCTCCATTCTTTAGTATCCTACCCAAAACAATATCTCAAATAAACAATTCACACAGTAAGCAAAAAATTCCATGAAAATGTAATCAACATAATCGTATAACTAGTGTAAATAAGTAACCAGATAACATATATCAAATAATCATAGTTCATAAACAGTAGTCCAATAAATCAATAATTTTAGAAAATCACATTTTAAAGCAGATAAAACAATTATATGATATATAAGGAATACCTCACAAAATGGGGTCGGTCAGGGTGTATACTGAGCACATGCTTTACCAAGCTCTACAGCAATGCTCGAACCTAATTCATAATAAAATTGGGTTACTATCGAAGTAAAATTTTTAATCTATGTAATCATAAGGTTTACGGGTCATACGAGTGACTACTAGCTCACGAGATCGAACAGATCGAGAGGAGCTGGATCGAGTTGTCGAGCGATTGAGAGAGTCTCATGTACCTTCAAATAACAGTATATAAGTAGTCTCTAACCTTAATTTAATCATTCATAAATAAAAGACTTAAGTATATACATGCTCAGGTTTGACGGTAAATTCATAGGCCTTCGAGTTCGAATTTGGCAAAATGAACTTCGAATTCGGACTCATAATGTTAAAAACCAAAAAATATGATTTTCCCCAAAAAAATTAACCTTTTGGGCAAAGCCAAAGTTATCAGTCAAAGTGAAAGGTCAACTTTGGTCAAAGTCAATGGTCAGGTCAATGGTCAGTCAGAGTCAACTGGTTGACTATGTCCTAGTTGACTAAGTGAGTTGACTCAACTCGACACAGTTCGGTCTAACTGGACATGTTCGGTCTGATTGGAACGGTTCTGGATTGCTCCTGGATCAGCAAAAGAGCTCCACGTGCATTTTCGGTACCTGTTGGCGCGTGCGGTGGTGATGGGGGCCATTTTAACTTGTTGATCCTTCCCCGGTCTTTTACACACTCGAATTAACCACTTTCAAACTTAATTTTGCAACAACACTCACCCAAACTCATTGAAAATTGATCGGAAACTTACCCCAGTGGTGAACGGTGAAAAACAGAGACAACAGGGAGACACACCAGTTGGGTTTTGATCGCATGATGTCAGAGAAGCCAACAGAGGCAGAGGTGAGATGGTACAGTCGTTGGCTCGGTTGAAATCAAGTGATAATCAGTGCGGCGGGGTTTGGAAATGACAAATCTTCAAGTACCGATTGACTTTGATTCACAGTATGATGGGGCTTGAATCTTTGTCGCCGGTTACCGGTGAGTCGATGAGGGTGGTAGAGGGCGAAACAGTGGTCGGACAGTGGTGGGTTGGTGAGGCCGATGAGGGGGTATAGGTTGGGGATTGGGAATATGAGAACTGGGAATTTGGGAATTGGAAATTTTAGGAATACAACCCGAGCTTTAAGCCTTAAGTATATTTTTGATAATAAATTAACATTTATAATAGCCTAGCCTAGATGGTATGGGCGTGGACGGCCTTCCCAAGTGGCAAGGGTTCGATAGCCGCAACACTTAACCATTTTTATATTTTTTCTGCTGACAAAAAATGGGTAAATTCCAGGCTAGGTCCCTAAATTTCCTACAAATTATAAAAACTTGTAATTTGGTCCCTATTTTCATTAAATTAATTCTTTTAAATTTTTAATTTATTATTTTATTATTACTTAGGGTTGTTACAGTTCTCCCCCTAAAAAAATTTCATCCTCGAAATTTACCTAAAGCAAATAGATGAGGAAACTAAGTCTTAATTGACTTCTCTATCTCCCAGGTGGCTTATGCAGGACCACAGTTACTCTACTGAACCTTTACCATTAGAATATGCTTGCTCCTCAACACTCTTTCATATCGATCTAAAATTTAAAGAAGCTCCTTCTCATAGGATAAATTTGGCCTCAACTCAACATCCTCTAACTGAATGATATGGCTAGGGTCTACAAGATAAAGCCTCAACATGGACACGTAAAAGACATCATGAATACGACTGAGATAGAAATACAACTCTAGCTAATATTCAACTGGTTCAACTCTCTTTAAGATTCGGTAAGGCCCAATAAATCTCAGACTCAATTTACCTTTTCGCTCAAATCTCAGTTCCTTCTTCCATAGAGATACCTTCAAAAAGACCTGATCTTCAACCTCAAACTCTACATCTTTCCTTATCTGGTCAGCATAAGACTTCTAAATCTCAAATGCCTCTTTCAGGCAGTCACGGATCAATCTAACAGTGTCCTCTGTCGTTCACACTATTCCTATAGAGTGCTTCATACGGTGCCATATGAATGCTAACCTGATAGCTGTTATTGTAGGAAAACTCAACCAAGGGCAAAAAGTTCTCCTATCTAGCACGAAAATCAATCACACAACCCCGCAACATATCCTCAAGAACCTGAATCACTCGCTCATATTGACCGTCAATCTGCGGGTAGAAAGTTGTACTGAAATTCAGTTAAGTACCCAGAGCCTCGTGAAGTGTTCTCCAGAATCTCAAAATAAATCTCGGATCTTGATCAGAAATGATAGATAGTGGAACACCAAGCAATTTAATGATCTCTGTGATATATAATCTAGCCTAATTGTCCAAAGAAAAAATTTACTGACACTGGAATAAAATGAGCCGACTTTGTAAGTCTATCGACAATCACCCAGACATAGACCTTTTTTGTAGGAGTCAAAGGCATGCCATTAAAAATATCCATAGTAATACACTCCCATTTCCATTCAGGAATCTTGATAATCTATAACAGATCCGACAGATACTGGTGCTTTGCCTTAACTTGCTCATAAGCCAAACATCTAGCCACAAAATCAGAGATATCCTTCTTCATGCCAACCCAATGGTATCTCTCTCTCAGATTTCAGTACGTTTTATCCCCTCCGGGTGTATCGCATAAGGGCTACTGTGAGCCTCACTAAGGATAGTCTGTCTCAACTCTGCATCATCAGGTACACAATAATGACCTTTGAAGCATAAAACTCCATCCTAGTCAAAAGCATAATTTGAGGTAGTACCTTATTAAACTTGCTCAAAGATGGGGAGTAAGGAGCCATCAAGAGGTTACTTGGCCTTGATCTCATTGGTTAAGGTTGGTTTAACCTGCAATTCAGCAAACAGAATACCATCGTCATATAACTTCATCCTAGAAAATAGGGACTTCAGATCAGTTATCTCCTTCTGACTCATAGCATCTACAACGACATTAACTTTACCCGGATGGTAGTCAATCTTGCAATCATAATCATTTAGAAGCTCTAGCCAATGACACTACCTTAGATTAAGTTCCTTTTAGCTTAGAATATGCTTTAAACTCTCGTGATCAGTAAAAAATATAACACTTCTCTCCATAGAGATAGTGTCTCTAGATATTTAAAGCAAAGATCACAGCTGCCAACTTCAAATCATGCGTTGGGTAATTTCACTCATGAGACCTTAGCTGACGGGATGCATAAGTGACTATTCTACCCTCTTGCATTATAACACAACCAAGTCTAGAGTGTGAAGTATCACTATATACCTTAAAATCCTTCCCAGGCTCAGGTTGTGGTAAAACTGGAGCTTCAGTCAAAGCTATCTCCAATTTCTTAAAGCTCTCCTATTGTGCATCACCCCAGTCAAACGAGACATTCTTTCTCAACATTTTTGTCAAACGAGAATCAATGACCGAGAAACCCTTGACACAACATCGATAATATTGATTAAACCCAGTAAACTACGGATCTCAAAGACATTTTTTGGTCGCTTCAAACTCACAATGGCCTCAATTTTACTCGGATAGACCTGAATACCTTTCGTAGAAATAATATGCCCAAGAAACGACACATTCCAAAGCTAGAATTCATACTTGCTCAGCTTGGAATACATACGATGCTCTCTCAAAGTTTGAAAAATCATCTTCAGATGCTCATCATGCTCTGCCTTAGTCTGGGAATAGTCCATAATATCATCAATGAAAACCACTACAAACTGATCTAGATAAGATTGTAACACATGGTTCATCATATACATAAAGGATGCGGGAGCATTTGTCTGACCAAATGGAATCACCAGGAACTCATAATGACCGTATCTAGTACGGATGGCAGTCTTCGTAACATCTAACCCCTTGACCTTCATCTTATAGAACCCCGAGCGAAGATCAATTTTTGAAAATACAGTAGCTCCAAGCAATTGATCGGATAAGTCATCAATTATGGGTAGTGGGTACTTATTCTTAACCATCAACTTATTCAACTTCTGGTAATCAATACAAAGCCTAAGTGATCCTTCCTTCTTTTTCACGAATAGAATCGGAGCTCCCCTAGTTTAGGTACTATGTTTGATGAAACATGGATCAAGTAATTCCTACAACTAGACCTTCAACTCCTTAAGTTCCCTCAGGGCCATACAATATTCTACCAAAGAAGCAGGTGCATAACCGTGATAAGTCTCACTCTTGAATTCTACCTCTCTATTTAGAGGTAACCTTGGCAACTCTTAGGGAAAACATTGGGAAAATTGCTAACTATACAAATCTCCTCATTCTTAGACGAGAAGCCTTTATTATTCAAGATACAGGCAATGAAAGTCTCATGCTCCTTTTGGATCATCTAATCAACATCCAAAGCCAATACTATATTCAAAAGATAGCCTCGACGCTCACCAAATAGCATAATAGTCCTACCATCATAAGTCTTCCTAGTAGCTCTCTTGTGCTCGCAATCCAGATTTACCTGATGCTCATTCAACCAATCCATCCCTAGAATCAGATCAAACTCATCTAAAGGAAGCTCCATAAGGACGGCAAGGAAAATTTCACCTTGAACATCCAAAGGACAACGCCTGAATACCTTATTCATAACCATTAATTTTCCTACTAGAGTCATTACAGTAACGACACTCTTATTGTCCTCTATCAAAATTTGAAGGTATCGGGATACCGAACTTGAAACTTAGGAGTGAGTGGAGTCATTATCTAGTAATGCAAAGTATGAAACATAATAAATAGTAAATGTACCTGCAATAACCTCTGGCTCGTCTCTGTCATCCCGACATCTAGTGGCATAAACTAGAGCTAGCTATCTGGCCTCTGATACTATCGGCCCTCTACTCTACTGGGATCAAACTCTACTATATGCCCTAGACACTGTTCTGAGAGTTTTTTCTTGGCTATGACCTCAAGATGGGGTCTGAACTGAAGCTTGAGAACGTCCAGGAGTCTGGTAGCTATCTTATTTGATGAAGCTAAATATGGACAATCCCTTCAGAAAAGATTATTGGATCCACAATGGAAGCAAGTACCCATATTCTTACGACATTCTCCTCCGTGTCAGTTTCCACAAAAGTCACAAATAGACACCTAAGGCAAACTTGATGAACCACCTTGACTAACAACTGAGAGTGGATGTTCTATATTCATAGAACTAGTATTACTCCTCTAGGGACTGTAATACAAGTCCTCTTCTCAGGACGCACAAAAGACTCGGTCGAGCTGGAAGACCTCCTAAGTTGCTCTCGATATACTCGATCTCTTATTAGAGCCAAGGCCTCCACCTTCTCAGCATCCTTCGCTCTACCCACCATAACATTGAAAATCTCATCCTGATGGGGTACAACTTGCCTACGCAACTCATATTGGAGTCCTAAGGAAAACTTGCGGCATCTGTCCCTCTTAGTGGGAACCAAGCTAGTTCCATACTTTAGCAGCATTAAAAATTCCATCCTATACTTGGAGACTAACATATCTTCCTACCCCAAGTCCTTAAAATGTTATCACCTCTCAACTAAATAACGCTCTCCATGGAAATGCTTCATGAAATTCTCTTTCAAGAAATCCCATGTTATAAGATCAGTAGAAATACTATTCACCATCGACTCCCACCAGGTGTTGGTATTTCCATCCAACATCGAAACAACTCTAAAATACTATTCACAGAGGCATTCTTCAACTTCAGTAGGAGCTCCGCCAGTCAAACCTCTAAAAGTCCTGACCCTATTGGCGATTAGGGTATGCGTAATAAAAACTTTAGGTACGACACTAGCAACTCTGACTGCACCTTGAATCAAATATAGAAACTTCTTACTAAGAGTCTCATCTAACACCACTCTCGTAGGCTCAGCACCAACGGTTGGCGCTCCCCTGATAGGCGTCGTCATATCGATACCAGGGGTAGGCGGTGGATCAACCATCAGATCGTCGATTGGGTCAGCGATCACAACCTCGTTTAGCACTCATAGAGAATGATCTCAATGCTCACTACACACGAGTTTAAACTTATGGTCAATTAGGAAATCGGAGTACCGAACATAGTTAAACTTGTAAAAAAAAAGGGTGACATGGCATTGTCAGAAATTGTAAAATGTTTTCATAATGTAACCCCCTAGACTCAGCCTATGTGTTACGACTAGATCTAGCGGATTACAATAAAATTTCCAAAAACATTTTTGATAAGTTAAAATCCTATTATATACAATATCTAAAAAAATAATACATAGTTGAAAATGATAAAATTTTCATCACGTAAATATCAATACGTCAATGACTAAATAAAATAAAATATATCATAATTCGTATTGCAGTGAAAATCATACGCATAAGTATTTCAAAATAAGGGCACATGTCACCGTAAATAAAGCAGTTTGAAAGATAGAAATATTAAAACAAAAAGTTCTATAAGAATGTGTCAATCTTTCAAGTACCTAGTTCGGGATGACTATCGAAAGTATCTGAAAGGAGGAAAACAGTTTGAAAATGGTGACCTAGGGAGCTTAGTGTGTTCGAATAGTGTAAATAACATGGTAGGTAAAATAATTTAGAGTGTTTCAGTAAGGTATCATAAAAGTCATCAATAAGTTAAATTTAAAACTCATAATTACCCTCCTCCCGTAAACCAAAATACAGTTCCCTCAGAACTGCATCCATAAGGGCTACCTTATACCATTGGGTATAAGAGCCATCATAAGGGAGTATCTTTGGGCCTGAGAGCCTACCCAAGAAAGTTCTTGGGGCCTCAGAGCCTACCCAAGGGTCGTCTTAGGTCCATAAGGTATTACCAGCTTGATAAGAGTTGAACCTCTATACTCTAGTATCTTACCCAAAACAATATCTCAACAAAACAGTTCATGTAGTAAGAAAAAATTTCCATGAATCCGTAATCAATATAATTTTATTTCCAGTGTAAACAAGTATCCAGATAACACATATCAAATAGTCATAGTTCATAAACAGTAGTCCAATGAATCAGTAAATCAGTAATTTCATAAAATCACATTTTTAAAGCAAGTAAAACAATTATATGACACATAAGGAACATACCTTGCAAAATGGGGTCGGTTAGGGTGTATATTGAGCACCTGCTTCACCAAGCTCTACAGTAGTACTCGAACCTAATTCATAATAAAACTGGGTTACTATTGGAGTAACATTTTTAATCTATGTAATCACAAGGTTTACAGGTCATACGAGTGATTATTGGCTCACGAGGTCGAACAGATCGAGAGGAGCTGGTTCGAGTTATCGAACGATTGGGAGAGTCTCGTGTACCTTCAAATAATAGTTCATGATGAGTCTCTAACCATAATTTAATCATTCAGAAATAAAACACTTAAGTATATGTGCTGCTCAGGTCTGATGGTCAATTCGAAGGCCTTCGGGTTTGAATTTTTCAAAACGGACTCCAGATTTGGACTTAGGATGCCGAAAAACTTAGAATATAACTTTTCAAAAAATTTGATTTTTGTTAAAGTCAACGGCCAAAGTCAATGGTCAACTCTGGTCAAAGTCAGCGTTCAGGTCAACGGTCAGTCAAAGTCAATAGGTTTACTCTTTCCGAGTTGGCTCAGTTCGACCCTGTTCGATCTAACTGGACTGATTCGGTCTGACTAGATCAGTTCTAGAATGCTCCTGGACCTGCATGAGAGCCCCATGGGCACTTCCAGTGCATGGCGGCGCGTGCGATGGAAACAGGGGTTATTTTGATTGGCCAATCCTTCCCCGGTCTTTTGTCCGCTTGAATTAACCACTTTCAAACTTAATTTTGCAACAACACTCACCAAAACTCACCGAAAATCGATCGGAAACTTAACGATAAATAACAGTGATAACACGAAGACCCACTGATTGGGTTTTGAGTGAACGAAGTTGGAGAAGTCAACGGAGGCGACGGTGAGATGGTACTATCACCAGATCGGCTGAAATTGAGGGAAAATTAGTGTGGCGGGGGTTTAGAAATGACAAAGCTTTAAGTGTCTATTGACGTTGATTCACAATGCGACGGGGCTTAGGTCTTGGTCACCATTCGATGGTGAATCACACGAGGGTGTTGAGGGGGAATAGTGGTCTAATGATGGTGTTAATACATGCGTGTATTCTAGAATGTTTGGATCCGACTACATACCATAAGTCTGTATGTAAATGACTTATTCATTTTCAAAATACACCTGAAAGCCATTAAAGAGACTAGAGATTTTTATCTACTAAGTTTGAAATGACTGATTTAGGAGAAATTAATGTGACTTTTCGGATAAAATTAACTCAATCGGATAAGGCATACTCATCAAACCAGTCTCGTTACATAGAGAAGTTTCAAAAAAGTTTAACAATTTTGATATAATCCCTATAAGTACGCCTTATGATCTTAGAATTCAATTAAAAAATAATAAATGGAATAGTGTCTCATAATATGAATATACAAAGATTATTGGTAGCCTAATATTCTCAATAAACTATACTCAACCCGATATTGCATATGTTGTTAATAGGTTAAGTAGATATACTCACAATTCTAGTGATGATCATGGAAATGCTCTTAATTGTTTACTTAGATACCTAAAGGTACAATGAATTGTGAACTTAAATTCGTTGGATACCTTACAATCCTTGAAGGATATTGTAATGTAAATGGGGAAACTGACAATGATGAAGTAGGTTCCACTAGTGGGTATATTTTTATTTTAGGTGAAACAAATATTTCTTGGAAGTCTACAAAACAAACATATATTGCTCGTTCCACCATAGAATTAGAGTTCACTGCTCTTGATTTAGCCGGGAAAAAAGTCGAATTGCTTAGGAATATGCTTGCAAATATTATTTTATGGGACATACCTACATCGCCAGTGTCGTTATTATGTGACTCATAAGTCACATTCTATGATCTTACAATGGTAAGAAGAGACATATCAGGATAAGGCACAAATCTATGAGACATCTTATAAAGAATAAAGTACTCACTTTATAGTATGTGAAATATGAAAGGAACCTTCTTGATCCCTTAATTAAAAGGTTATGTAGGAAAATGGTTCTTGATTCATCAAGGGGGATGTGACTCAAGCCCATTAGATGAGTAATTCATATCGTGCACTCCTACCTATCCATAGCCCATTAGATGGCATATAATGTACACTTTAGTGGTTGAGTTTTATACTCTTAATGAATCCATAGCCCATGATTTGGTTGGTCATAGTTAGACGAACTTGATGGATAAATGATTTGCTAGGTTAAGTTTTACACTCTTATTGAATTCATAGCCCAAGTTTACGGGTGGTTCTAGTAAGACAAACTTGATGAATTCACCGAATTTATAAATAAGAGGTTGAGATTAATAAAAACTCTTAATGATTTTATTGACCTAATTCAAGTGGTCTATATTAAGATAGACTTGATGAAATCACCTAAGTAAGTGTGAATGAAACCACATTCAATGAAGACTTTTGATCATCTTTCTAGAGCACTTTTGAGCATTCCAATGTATTATTTGGCAAAATTTTCGAACTATCAGAGAACTAATAGATTTGAGGTTAGTTCAAATCTAACATATACTAGTACTTATAATTTTACTATTACTCTTTTCTTTTAAATTTTTTTACAGATCTTTGCTTCTTTGCATTAGTAGGGAATATTGGTTATATATATAATATTGTAAAGAAATAAATATGTTTTATTTGAATTTTAATTTTAATTTAATAAAAATTCAAATATTGAGATAATGAGAGAAATTAATATTTTTGGGAGATTTTTTTGTTGATTTTTCTCTTTACATTTTTTACCTAAACACCCTCATTTTTAGATATAAAAGAAGAGTGAAAAGTGTCGTGTTACTCGTCAAAATAAAAATAAAATCCTCTTCTCAAATAAAATAAATAGAAATAAATATAGTATAGTGAAAGAGGGTCAATCCATAGGGACTTAGAAATTCCTGATATAATTCGTGCCGATTTTGATCCAGGTATCCGCAACAAAAATTAAATAAATAAAAATTGGGTAGCGAGAATGAGATGAAGTAATGAAAGTAAAATATAGGCAAATAAATAAGTTGAAAGTAAGGAATTAAAATTGAAATAAATTGAAGGAAACATAAATAAAGATAGGAAACAATGATAAGGAAATCGCCTCGAGCGAGCTTTGTTTCAATTCCGTTTGATCATCGAAATAGTTTTTTTCTTCAGGATTCATGTCAGTTACAGTCTACAGGGACCAAACCATTGTAACTTGCCTCTCTATATAGTAACCAGTCTTCCTAAGTCACTCTCCGAAAGTCGATTCTTTAATGGACTAACCACAACAATTGTCATTAAAACAAACAAAATTAAGTATTGTAAAGGCCCAACTTGGATTATGTTGTCTCATCAAGAATCGAATCCGATCTCGATTTTCCTTACGAACCACTGCTAAGTGTGTTCAAATGAAGTTGAATATGTCACAGGTTAATCCTTCCTCCCAACTATAAATTAAAACATCCAGATCAACGTTGACTTTAATTCCAGAAAATCAAGAATGAAATCCAAAGGTATTTTAGTGTTTTTCAATTCTCACATATGGAATTGAGTCATCGCTAGCTCTCAGCTAATAAAGAAATTAGCTAAGCATAGTGGAAACCATACTTAGCATGTTTTACAAAAATCAATAGAAAACTTCAAGTAAAAATAAAAATGAAAATAAGAAAATGAACTTTATAAAATTAAAAATAAAATAACAAGATAAAATTCAATGAAAAAGATGTCTTAAGCCTTACCGAAAGGAGGGTATTTATAGGCTTCCATAATATTCCTCCTTTTAGAAGCTGCCACATCAGACCCGTGTCATGCCCAGCGTCGTGCCCATGTCTCCAGCCGCTACCAGGAAACAAAAAATATAGATTTCACCATTTTTCTGCCAATTACAGTAAATACGCCATTGCACATAAAATAAATGAAATACAATCCAAATAAATAATGATAAGTTCATAAAATAGGAGAATTATCAATTAAAAAGCGACAATTTATAACGCTCATCAAATTCCCCTCACTTGTCTAATGCTTGTCCTCAAGCATGCTTTGATAAAACTAGTTAAGAACTTAATGTACTTTCCTTCGTTTCGTTTCATAACAAAGCAAATTATGAGATTCAAACTCACAAAAAACATTTGAATCAAAACACCAATGAAGTGAATGAACACACATAAGATTAAGTCAAACAACATTGCAACTTTCAATCAATCATTAATAAAAAAAATTCAACCTAACTTAATTCCTCACAAGGATTCACTCAATCCACTCAAATGTGTTTCGGGTGCAAATACGCTCAAAGTCGGAACTAAACAAGAATATACATAGGCTTGTGACATAATCAAATCTCCACTACTTAATAGAAATAAAATGCAAAGATCATTGGGTCTTTTAAAAATGGTGTAATGAGGCTTAACTAAATGTAGGAAAAAGGCTAGAAATGAGGTTTGTAATCGAGACAAAGAATTTTTTTTCAGATAATTTAACCAAGTCCACGAGAAAAGCAAGAGGAATCAAATATTTACATCAAACAATCATTTTTTTCTGTTTTTCTACTTTTATATTTATTTCAAATGGTGCTGTCTTTTACTGTACGAATGAGGCGATCATTGACGTCATGCATTTCTCTTGCATGTTCGAAGGAGGCAGCGGTAAAGATCGAGGACGCGCATTTCGGCGAGTGAAGACTAGTTCGGTATGTGGCATCATCACTCCCAGTGGAACAAAATACGGTGCAATGGCCGTTCCTGCAAGCAAGCCCATTAGATCCAAGCAACATTCATCTAATCCATCCATATAGAACGTGCAAGTAAAGTCCATAATATCAAAATTAGCAACATGAGACACTAAATTTGTAATGTAAGGACCAAGGATTAAAAGGCTATCACTCCCAGTGGAACAAAATACGGTGCAATGGCCGTTCCTGCAAGCAAGCCCATTAGATCCAAGCAACATTCATCTAATCCATCCATATAGAACGTGCAAGTAAAGTCCATAATATCAAAATTAGCAACATGAGACACTAAATTTGTAATGTAAGGACCAAGGATTAAAAGGCTATTGGATCGAATAACGATCTCAAATGCTCGGGCAAACCAGAAACCCAAATTTACATTTCTACCTATGAACATACACCAAAAGAAGAAAAGTTTTGTCTTACTTAAAATGCCGGAAGAATCATTCCGACCAGAATAGTTGTAAGCTAAGAAACATTGTATCTATTGTAATGATGGGCCGTGAAGGTGAATAGCTTTTTTTGAGCGTGGGTCAAATGGTTGGTCGCCAAAACTATTGAGCAAAGAAAAGGCTGAATCCGTGTTAAATTCCTACGGCATCCCGACTAAAGCAGTTGGATGATCTAGACTCGTGACATTCGTCACAAATCCCATAGCAAGATTAAAATTGGAAAGAGAAACACTAAATTGTTGGCCACATAAAATAAATGAAACAACATCAGGAGATCCAATAGTAACAAATTGAGAATGTGAGAACATGAAAGTCGATTAAAACTTGAAAACAAGTTCATAAAAAGTGTCGATCTTAATTTGCGAAAATAACGTCCAACCAATTGAATCAAAATAATCACGAACAACATCATGAATATGAAGATTTTTCAGAGTTTGGTTTGGGATAAACTTACATACTCGAAATGGACAATGGTGGATGTTCTGAAAACGAACCATCTGGTCATTTTTAAAGTGCATGAATCCCTTCAAACGTTCCGCGGATGGCATTGCATAGGATCGGCCGCGCCAATTACGTTCAGGATTTTTGGACGCTTGTGGGAGGCTGCCTAGAGGCGACGGAAATGCGTTCAAATTGGATGCACGGAACAGAGATAAATACTGCTTGGAATGATATTGATATGAAGGTTCAGTGTCGGGTTGTCCCAAAAAATGCTTGCCAAAAAGTCCTCTGTAAAACCAAACGAAGGATGATACATTAGTAAGTAAGGGACGAATGGAATCAGAACTAGAATTTACCTATGCATTATTATCATCCTCGGTGGAGTGCATCAATAATGAAAGGATAGCCAAGTACCTCGGTGAGTGGAGGAGTGGCATGGCCAAGAAGAAGATGAAGTCACTATCGGAATAGAATGAAAAGATGGAGAAGGTGACCGTGGTGGTGACAGACAGTGGCCATGACTCAGTCCAGAAATCTCGGGGTGTTGCGACCGACGGTTGATCAAAGAAAGTGATACATGGTTCAGTTCGACTGCCACATGTAGAGGTGTTTAGGCTTATTACCATCGCCATATCGTGGACGAGGCGAGGAATCGAGTCAGAGTCACTTGGAACTTTAATAAAGGCCGCCGAAATGGTGAAACAATACCGTCTGTCGAGCACAATGGGTGGAACTGAAAGGCCATCATTACCTTGATTTTGGGTTCTGACGATTTTGGGTTCTGACGATTTTGGGTTCTGACCATTATTGATAATCGGGCAGCGGCGCAGCGATGGTACAACTAAGATTATGGTGATGCAGGGAATGGGTGGTGGAGCACGATTATGAAGGTGAATGAAACCAGCTAAGGAGGTTGGGATTAAAGAAGAAAGAAAAGATGATAGAATAAAATAAGAAAGTTTAAAGGTACGTATTAGGGATAATAGGGATTGGGGGTGGTTTAAAAATCAAAATAAGGGTTAAAGATTTGGGGATTTAGGGTGTCGAGTCAAATATTTAGAAAGAAGGGATAGGGAATTAAAATTTGGGAGCAATTTATGAAGCAAAATTTGGTGGGGCCGTACCCAAACTTCCCACTAACGTGAGCCGTACCCAAACTTCCCACTAACGTGAGCCGTACCCAAACTTCCCACTAACGTGAGCCGTACCCAAACTTAATGAAACAATGCACCTTGACAATGGAAGGAAAATTTTCGCTCTTCCCAGCGGATGCTTTGAAAATTGGCTTTCTTTGGTTGAAAAATTAGCCTTCGACTCCGTTTTAAGTCCGATAAAATGCATCAGGTACCTGAAAATTAAAACGAAAAATTAATATAAGCTAAACAATAAATAAAATCGAAGAAAAAATTTTAAATTGCAAGAAAATTAAAGAAACATAATAAAAAATAGGTTACCTCCCACAATCGCTTTGTTTAGCGTATTTTAAGCTCGATGATGTTTCTTTAAGCTCTCGATTCATCCAAATAAATTTCTTCAATTAATCTTATTGGTGTGTTCTCATAAAAAGGTTTAAGACTTTGTTCATTTACTTTGAGTTAAGCATCAGAACCATCTTCGACTTCTACTACTCCATGAGGAAAAACATTGATTACTGTCAAGGGTCCGAACCACTTCGATCCAAGTTTTCCTGCAAAAATTTTAAACTTAGAATTAAACAAAAGAACTTTTTTCTTTAAAGATTCGTGCGCTATCATAAAAATTTCTACAGTTTTCCTCGAGTTCTTGGATATTCAATTTCCTAGCCTCTCCAACCGCATCAATTTCCATGTTGCACTACTTAACTGACCAATTTGCGTTATGCTCTAATTTGATCGATAAATGGCAAGGTTTTCTGATAACAAGAGGATATGGAGACGTTCTGATGGGGCCTTTGTAATCCATTTGGTATGCCCATAAAGCGTCGACTAGCTTCATACTCAAATCCTTCATATTTAGTTTGACAATTTTTTCAAGGATTGTCTTGATTTCTCAGTTCAAAACTCTGCTTGTCCATTCGTTTACGGATGATAAGTCATTCCAATCCATTAAGTCATTTCATAATATTTCATTAGAACTTCGATGAATCGGTTGATGAAATGTGTTCCTCTATTGCAAATGATTGCTCTCGGAGTGCCGAACCTGGAAAAAATAAAATCATGAAGAAAATTAGTAGTTGTTTTAGCATCATTGTTCCGGGTAGCCTTTGCCTCTACCCATTTAGAAACATAGTCGACTACAAGAATGATATATAATTTCCCAAAAGAAGAGGTAAAATGACCCATGTAGTCAATTCCCCAAACATAAAAAATCTTGCATATATGGATAGGATTGAGGGGCATTTCATTTCTTCAGCTTAAATTACCCACATGTTGACACCGTTCACAAGCTTCACGAAAGGCATAAGAATCATGAAATAAGTTAGGCCAAAAAATTCTGCACTCAAGAATTTTTTGCGCGGTTTGCTTAGGTCCGAAACTACCTCCACGTGAATATGAATGACAAAAGGTGAGAATCAATTTTATCTCACTTTTGGATATGCATCACCAGATTATTTGATATGAACAATGCTTCTAGAGATACGAGTTATCCCAAATATAAAATCGGGATTCTCGTTGAATTCTTTTAACTTCATATTTCGGTAAGTCAATAGGTAATTTCTCATGGCCAAGAAATTAACCATATCGATAAACCAAGGGTGCGAAGTATCCACCATCATCAAGCTTTTGTCCGGGAATTGTTCTCAAATGGGCGGTTCATTTTTTTGAGATTGACAATCGACTCATATGATTAGCAACCAAGTTCTCACTCCTTTTTTTGTCTTTAACTTATATATCAAATTCCTGAAGCAAAAGATTACAACGAATCAGTCTTGGCATCGCATCCTTCTTTTTCATCAAATACTTTAGCGATACATGATCAGAGAAAACATAAATTTTAGTTCCGAGTAAATAAGATCAAAATTTCTCTAATACAAAAATAACAACAAACAATTCTTTTTCTATAGTCGAGTAATTGCATTGGGTCGAATCTAGAGTTCTTGTTATATAAGCTATGACGTGAGGTTCTTTTCCAATTCATTGATCAAGAACAACTCAAACACTTAAATATGAAGCATCGTACATTAATTCGAAAGGAAAATCCCAGTTTGGTGGCTGAACAATTGGTGCGGATACGAGTTTTTCCTTTAAGATGTCGACAGAATTTTTACAACCATGATCAAAATCAAAGGTAACATCTTTTCGCAACAATTTACATAATGGTTGTGCCACTTTAGAAAAATCTTTAATGAACCTTCAGTAGAAACCTGCATGACCAAGAAAAGATTGGATTTCCTTCATCGAAGTATGGAAATGAGCGAATTACATAAGTTTTTTCCTTGTCTACCACAATTCCCTTAGATCAACATGCCCAAGAATTAGCCTTTTACTTACCATGAAATGACATTTTTCATAGTTAAGAACCAAATTAAATTAAATACAACACTTAAGAAGATAAGTAAGATTAAAAAGACATTGTTTAAAAGAGTTACCGTAGACAGTAAAGTCATCCATAAATACCTCAATACCTCTCTCGATATGATTGGAAAAAATACTTAGCATAGACCTTTGAAATGTTGCAGAAGCATTGCAGAGTCCAAAAGTCATTCTACGGTAGGCAAACGTTCCAAATCAGAAGTAAATGTCATATTCTCTTGGTCCTCGGGTGCCACCGAAATCTGAAAAAATCCTGAAAAATCATCAATGAAACAATAATAAGATTTCTCTACTAATCTTTCAAACATTTTATCAATAAAAGGTTAGGGGAAATGGTATTTTTGGGTTACAAAATCTCCAACCATTTTGCATTCGTGTCGGAACCATCTCACCCTCTAAATTTTCGAGCACCGTAATGTCGGTCTTCTTCGAAAAAATGTGAATAAAACTTACCAAATCACTATCAGAAATTGGGTAAACAATATCAGTGCCAAAGAGCTTTTGAATCTCGTCTTTTACTACCTCCATCATTGGTGGGTTCAAGCAGCGCTATCCTTCTCTTGTCAATTAAGCGCCTTCATTCGTCTTGATTTTATGCATACACATGGATGGACTCAGCCCCTTAATATAGCCTATAGTTCATCCGAATGCCTCTTTATTTGTGTACAAAACAACAACTAAGTTGTTTTCTTCATCCTTTGATAGTTTGCTTGAAATTATGATTGGCAAAGTATCATTTTCGCCCAGAAACATGTACTTAAGATGCGTCAGCAATTGCTTCAACTCCAACATAGGTGCCTACAAAATTGATGGAAGAGTTTTAAACTTAAACGGCATTAAACAAACATTAGAAATAGAATAAGAAATTATCGAAGAAATTTCTTCAAACTCCCTATCATCAAATTCCTCTTTCTCCAACTCTCTACAAAAATCAAATACAAAATTATTTTCCAAAAATTTGTCATCTAATGGATTGACAATATCAATAAAATTCAAGCTCACTACATTATACGAGTATTTCATAGCCTTGTATATGTCAAATTATGATTGAAATTATGATTGGCAAAATATCATTTTCGCCCAGAAATGTGTACTTAAAATGCGTCGGCAATTACTTCAACTCCAACTTAGGTGCCTGCAAAATTGATGGAAGAGTTTTAAACTTAAACAACATTAAACAAAAATTAGAAATATAATAAGAAATTATCGAAGAAATTTCTTCAAACTCCCTATCATCAAATTCCTCTTTCTCCAACTCCCTATAAAAATCAAATACAAAATTATTTTCCAAAAATTTGTCAGCTAATGGATCGAGAATATCAACAAAATTCAAGCTCACCACATTATCCGAGTATTTCATATCCTTGTATATGTCAAATTTGATGACTTCTTCATCAAATTCCATAGTTAAAATGTCGCTCCGAGCATCGATCTTCGTGTACAGAGTGCTTAAGAAAGGTCGCTTGAGAAGAATTTCAGATTCGATTTTACTGCGATCATTTTCCATATCAATTATATAAAAATCAGCAGGAAATATTAAATCATTTACCTTCACCAAAACATTTTCAAATACTCCCTCGGGGTAAATGACTGATCGATCGGTGAGTTGAACCGTGACCCTTGTTTCTTTCAATGGTTTGTTGAAAGTTTTCTCGTAAACATAGAGCATTATTATGTTTATGAATGCACCTAAGTCACACATGGCTCTCTTGATTCCAACATTGACGATTTTGCAAGGTATGGTGAATATGCTTTGATCCTTGTATTTCGGCAGAAGCCTTCTCTAAAAGGTAGCGAAAACGTTTTCGCTAAAGCCTTCTCTGAAAGGTAGCGAAAATGTTTTCTCCAAGGTTCACATTTTCATTCCTGGTTAATCGCCTTTGATTCGTGCAATGTTCCTTGAGATACTTGGCATACTTGGGTATTTTTTGAGTCAATTCATGTAGTGGAATGTTGATTTCCACTTTCCTGAATACATCTAGGATACTTTTCTCTTCATCTTACTTGTCCTGCTTCATTAATCTAGAAGGAAAAGGAGTGAAACTTCAAAAGGGGAAGGTAAAGAAGAAGAGGAAGCATGATTACCTGAGATAGACTGAGGTGGCATCTTCTTTTTTCTTTTTAGGTGATGTGTCTTTATCCTCTAAGATCTCAGGCGAAAAGACGGAGCCGCTTCGAAGAGTTATTGTACTGACATTCTTCCTTGAATTTGTTTTGACTTGTGAACGTAATCGGCCTTGAGATTCCAAACGACCAACTGTTTGAGCCAATTGGCTTATTTGATTGTTGAGTTCTTGAAGGTGAGATTGGGTTTTAGTTTGGAATTTTTCTTGGGATAAGGCCAATTTTTCGACAATTCTTTCAAGGTAAGATTTTTGGGGTGTTTGGGAGGGAAAGGAGGAGGTCTCGGTTGATAATTCGGGTTAATTCTTTAATGGTTTTCGTAACTCAGGTTTGGATGGTCTCTTCATCCAGGATTAAAGGTGTTACCATATG